ATAGTATAGTATAGTATAGTATAGTATAGTATAGTATAGTATAGTATAGTATAGTATAGTATAGTATAGTATAGTATAGTGTAGTATAGTATAGTGTAGTATAGCATAATATGGTATATTTACGATGCTTGCACTGATCTCCTGGAGGTTCGTTCGAAAAGGGCTACTTCAGAGGAGAATACGCAGCGACAGTCACTGTACCCCGTGATCTTATGTTTCCTTCATATAGTATGATCGAAAGTTACGCTAGCACCATATCCTCCCACTTTGAACCTTTAAATATAATTAGATAGATGACAGTAGAGAACCACTGTCAACACTAATGCCTGTGCTAATAATATTCTTTTTGTGAGTTTTCCCAAAATAACGCCTAAGTAGGGGGCCAAGAAGCTGTCATCGTTAAAGATCACCGTATCCCGACTGTGTTCGCACCTGTCCGTCTTACAGTCCAAATTTATTCCGATTTCCTCTTTCACTTGAGGCAGTAACAGACTTTACAACTTTATGGTCGAAATGATGGCAACTTGACAGCTGACGAACTATTGGATTAATAGCGAACCGGCGATGTTTTCAGATCTTACAAATCCAACTAGCCTTCCGGTCTATGACTTTGCGTTTGTTTATACAAAGATGATGTTTGACCTGATGGCGACCGTCGTTACACAGCTAATTTAAGTGAATCGTTTGTCAACTTTTGAAGTGACAATAATCAGTATCTGGAAGTACCAAGAACTTGTCGTATTGGCCGTTTTAAAACTACTAATAATTTATCTAACTTTGCAAGAAAAAATTTGCCTGTGTTGTACAATTGTTTGATTTTGTAGTTCAGGTTGAAAACAACGGCAGGCAGATGTCAAGCGGAACTTTGTTGGACAATCACATCTCTAGAGCGCATGTTTCCGGTTGTATCCTGTCCGTATGGAGAGGGGAGCAGCAGTTAATTTTCGATACAGGCCCCTAGTTTCGCGAATGGTTCAATGAAGTGTCCATTGACAGGACTGGTAAAGCGTCTACTAAAAACTGTCCAATTGGTTAAGAAAGGAATGTTCCATTCCTATACTTCCCCTGATATTATTTTCAGAGAGCGATGTGTAGTTAGGAGTCGACGACTTCACGCGACAGTCCCGGCGACAAAGAATGCGTTTCATTTTTAGTCTATTGCAAGCACATCTTGACATTCGACTGCAAAGCACATTATTGGTGCTAAACGGCCAAACACCAAATGACTCGACTGTATCGATCGAATGAGATGTATCGCTTCTGTAGAAATGTATGCACTATCCAGATCGGGTTGATTTCTGCTAAATTAGTCACTATTTAATTTTGTACTGCAGTTGATCTTCAGCGACACCATGAGAGGTGTCTTTTCATTTGCCTCATAATACAATGAATTTGTGAATCCGACAAACCAAATTTCAGAGACCTGAGTGCTAGTCACTCAACCAGAAATGTCCGGCTAGACTGAATGTTCATATTCCCTCTTTGTATGAAATAGTACAAACAAATTAAAAAGTTCTCTGAGAGTCTAGAGAGACCTTTATGATTGGGGTCTTCCACAGAGACCAAGATCACTACCAAACAGACCCCTAATGCTTTGCGTAACCGTAAAAGAAATCTGGTAAGGGTTTAGAAATCCGAAAGTTTCCGTTCATAGCCACACCACCCTCGTTTGAACGGCCGTCCTTCCGTTCTGGCGCAATTATTCCGGTTAGTCCACACCAAAGGGAAGCACTGGACCCTAGTTCCGCTCTTATCAGAGCCCATCTAATGGCCGCGCCGGGATTTGAACCCCGGGCATCTGATATGCGATGCAAGCCTGTAACCACTACTCCACCAACGCACGTTGGATGCATCTGAATTATCACGTCTGAACAGGCGAACGTGTTCACACTTGAGCGATATGATTGGTATGTCCGACTCATCGAACGACGACTCAGTAACTGTCCCGGTTGTGACGATCGATTGACCCGCCAGTCAGGACTTGCCAGTCCTGAGCGAAACTCGAGTCCAGTGCTTCCCTTTGGTGTGGACTCACCGGAATAATTACGCCAGAATAGGAACAGGGCCGTGAGTGATGTGGCTATGAACAAAAATACCTATCCCGCAAAACCCCAAAATTCGAAAGTTGTTGAGCAAGGTAAAATACAAGCACCACTGATTTGCACTTAATACACAAGTTAGGAATACATCCCTCCGTAAGAATACTTGCATTTCACTTGCATTTCGCGGGACCACCAACGAAAAGACTTAAAAATTGCACCGACAGGGAACGTTAAATGCTCCTGAGGCTGAATTCTTAAAAAAAAAGTACCAGGTAAGGAGTGGTATTTCGAAATGATCCCTATTTTACTTTGTCGAATCGCCATAGACATAAAAATCCCAGGTTCACATGAAATGTTTTATACATACACTTTCTCACATTTTGACTTACTTGATGGACTCGAAGCATTCCACGCTTTCGAACACTCCTTCATCCGGCGTCCACCGGACGGTTCTTCATCTAGGTCGTCCAATTCCTCTTCCGCCGAATACCCACTTGTGCGGAATGCGGAATTCTCTATGCAAACCAGGTAGAAGCCGATCCAAATTGCCAGCCTGGGCATAAGGTCGATCTAGGTTCTTCTTGTCGCGCCACGCATCGCCAACTCAGTTTGGACAAAGATTCGGTCAAATTGAGCCTGTCTCCGGGTCGCATTACTTAATCGGATAGTGTGTGTTTATAGCAAGCACGCGATGTGTATGATGAACGGTTGGCCTCGCATTAATAAACGAGGACAAGGTGAATGAATGACTGACCAAACGCGCGCGCACACACACGGCTAGGCCGACACAAAATGCACCATGACAAACCAGGCGGACGAAGGCAAAATTATATACTGTCGAAGATAGAGAACCGGTTGACGAATTTGGCTCATGCTTTTCGGATCGATCGAAAACGATATGCACTTCACGTCCATGAAGTTCTAAAAAATCCACAGAAAATAACCAATAGAAGTGTAGTTTGAAATCATTGTTCCGTTGCTCTTTAAAAAATGCTGTTCTCCTGCAATTTACTGGCATCGTAATGCCGCTAGAGTTGACTACAACTGATGATGTCTGTCCTAGTACTTGAACTAACAGGCTCACTGTGACTACCAAGCAAAGTGACAGCGACATTTGGTAACCAATCAGAGGACAGGACACACGGCACAGATCGGTAACAGCCCACGTGGAGTACCAGCTAACCATGAAGCACAAGCGGATAAGGCAATTGAGCCATCGGCCTAGAAATGCACACCTGAACTGCCATGGAACCCCGAAGTAACCCTTGCGCTGCGCATAATGTTTTAAAATATTAGAATATGAGAACTGTAACGAGTACGAAGCACTCTCCACTTTCAGACACTGTATATATACATTACATGGGCCAAAAGATAGACTTTTAAACGAACTGTTCTTCAAAATGGAATTCACTGTCGCAGCTTCCGCGGCTACGTCTAGTTGATGAGTTTTCAGGCTAGCCGCGAACCTCGTCCAGTATTCCGAACGTGTTTACTGATTCGTACAAAATAGTATACTAAATAAGACCAATAATATGACAAATACGATGGACACAAATGGGGCTCCAGTTTAGTTTAAGCCATGCTCTATTTCTTCACTGTTTTGCACATCGATTATTTTCAGATTTCGGACGCAAATTACAAACGATGGTTCAAAATCGTATGAAGTGCTATTCTCTTGGAATAGCCATCAAAACGATCCGGATCTTTTTCAGATAAGCCCCGCAAAAAAGTAACCCCTGCCACCCAAGAAAGGTTAGAAAAAAGAGGATATGAAATTTTTACTTTCAGTTTTTATTGAAGAGGGTAAAATTCGAACATGTCATTATTAATTTGCATGAGAAGGTTCGTTTTTCGGTCACTTTGCCTCCAAACGAACTCACACAAGTAGCTGTCCAATAAAAAGCGGTGCGTGCCGCATTCGTGTTTACTCTGCATTTTGTAGGCGTGCCAAACAGATTCAATGGTTTCTTTTCGTGAACCCAAGCCGTTGGATCCACAAAGTTTTCGGTAGGATTAACCGCCGGAGTATGCAAAATCTGCCAGGTGCAAACTTCGCGAAGAAAGTTCCTCCAATCAATAGCTGTCGTGGGGCTAATAGATAATTCCTCTGAGCAGAATTTGACTTTGGCCAAACTTTTGGACCAGCAATAACTCCATCCTAGACCGATTCAGTCTTGTCGACACTGTCGGGCATTACACCTCAACCTGTCAGAAACAGTTGAAAGCGTCATTTGGTGGCCATTGTTGCATAAACGTTGTTGATGGATCACTCTGTGGCTTTGCAAAAACGTATTGCTGTCTTCTTGTCATGAACGAGAGTTGAAGGCGTCAGAAAGTTCATTTAAGGTTTTACGTCCGAACGGAGAAAATTTTTGCACAAAATGAGCCTAAATGTGGATAAGGAATCGTTTTCATCAAAAATAGTTCAAGGTTGGAGCTAGAAAAAAGTGGCGGGGCTCAACTGGAAAAGATTCAACGATCCTTATTGACCAGCAGCTGCAAACGACTGCATAAGTGACAACTGAGTTACAATTTTAAGGTATATTTCTGAGCGAAATCCGCATACATTTGAATCGTTTTCATCAAAAATAGTTCAAGGTTGGAGCCAGAAAAAAGTGGCGTGGCTCAACTGGAAAAGATTCAACGATCCTTATTGACCAGCAGCTGCAAACGACTGCATAAGTGACAACTGAGTTACAATTTTAAGGTATATTTCTGAGCGAAATCCGCATACATTTGACTTACTGTTCAACCTTTAACATAAATTAACCTGTAAAGTTTAGGAAACCATCTGAACAACCTAGTGGCTTACCACCAGGTTCCAGATACGTTCATCTGAATGTGCAGGCTATCTGCACATCATCCCATTGTGATGTCAGAAATCAGCAATCCAACCAAGCCTCTTGAACTCGATGACAAATGTGTCATTTATGGTCCCGGTGCTTAAACGGACTGTTTACCCTCCAACCGAAAATGTCAACTGAATTGTCTCATTAAGGACGGGAGATTTCCACTGGGTTTAGTTGAGTGTCCTGTTAAAACCGAATTCGAGCTTTTTATTTTGAAATTAACCATCTTCAGAAACTGTAGCCTGCAGTACCACAAAACGACCGCAGCAAATCCGTCACATGCAGCCCAGCTCTTCTATTTTCGAGTTCCACTTTTAAGGCCGCAGTCTAATAAAGCCAACCAAGTCGGTCTTTGTCACTTGCGGGCACATTTTTCAGCTCATCAGAAATGATCGATGACTCAGAATATGACTCTTGACAGAAGTCATTCATCGTCCGACCTTCCAGCATTTCATTTATGAATAAACTCTTATATTCTCACGAAGGAAACCACTCACAAGGTTGCTGAAAACTCTTCGATAGCCCACGACCGGTTTCGCCCTTCTTGGGGCTCATCAGGTAGGCGCAGTCCCATAGTTTCCATCAACCTTATGTTCTACTTGAACCCAAATTGCGCTGTTTTCGAGAAATAAACTCGTTTGCGAATCAACTTGGTTTTCACGAGAAACCCAACTGAATCTCTCGTTTATGATGTGCTGCACACATGCTTGAATTTTTCGATGCCGCTCATTAGCTCCGCTTGTCGAATATTTTACACCAGAAGTTTACCCTGTACCCAGTCGGAAATCCACTTACTGCGTCTCGTTTTCGAATCCAGTCAGCCAAAACGCTATCGTCAGCATTGTCATTTGGTTTAATTTTCCAGGAATATTGGGATCGATTACGACTGAGTCAGCCTTGCGCGAAAGATTTAAATTTTTAGGGTCATTCCTGGTCTTTGAACTGAATGGCTGATTCTCTCATCCCATAATTCACGGACGCGATCACATCACATATGACTTTGGGACTGATCGATAAAAACACGTGCGTGGTCCTGTTCATGCCAGTCGCACGCGTGAACGTTTGGTGTATCCTGCCTAACGGTACTACAGGTGGCTTAATTTGCAGGCAGATTGTTTGTTTGGTTTGTCCGCTCGGGAGGATGCTAAGGCCATTTTGCGCTCCTTGGGCAGTGTTTTCGGGAAATCCACCTAACCGAGTTTGAGAAATCGATGAAGACAACCGGGTACCCAATGACTTAAAAATTTTCTTTACTTCTATGTAACGTGCATTCAGAGGATCACCAATGGAAGAAAGAGTGATTAAGGGAGGTGACGCGTACTTCTAGAAGCTTTTATAAGCATGTACTTGCCTAGTAAATGCACTTGGTTTGTGATGCACACTACTTAGAACCGCCCAAGTAAACATGCAGACTTTTACGTTTTCCATATGCGACACAAACATTCACCATACTTCCGGCGTTTGGGTTTATGTGGGTTATCTTGGCGTGTGGTAGGTACATGTCCCACTGCAGCTTTTGTGAAAAAGGTTTCCTGCATGAGCTACTAATAACTTTGTGAGTAGGTCATCAATAAAATGAAAATACTTGCGGGCGCTGAGCCCAGAGATCCATGCTGTGGCTCGCCTGTGGCTCGAGGCTCTCTCCACGCTAACTAATGAGGGAAATTACACATTTTAGTTTCCAACTAAACAACGGCTTAGCTAAAAGACGGATTTGCTTGGTTAAAGACGGGCTTTGAAGTTGTTAGATGAATGGGTCATGTGTTCCTGCTGGCCCTCCTCGTTCCCTTACCTAGTTGCACATAAACCTACCCTCTAACGGGCATCATAAATGACTAGTATCATGTTAATTTCGAATTTGTCGGCCAAAATGACTTACAAAAACAGATTTTTTCGCTGTCTTTTTTCATATCAGTACTTTTACGGATGTCTTCAAGCACTTCAATTTCACAAACAGGCAAATACCTTTGGTTTCCTCTCAAAATGGCTGTCCTATGAGTTTAAAGGGCGCAAGAAAGCTCGGTTTTGCCCTGATAATGGGAAAGCCACTATAAGCTGGTGGAAAACACACAAAACTTTAACCTGATGTGTATTAAGCGGTAATACATTGTACCAGCAACTGATTACCTGCGAGCGTCTATTCTGATAGTAAACATCTGAGCATAGCGGCTGTTTTTGCGAACCTCTAGAAGCAAATTAACTGCTCGCCTCAAAATGAGACAACTAATAAAAGAAGCCACCCCTCAGGAAAGTCCACAGTATACGTTTCTTAGGATGTTGCATCTCCGAAGAAGACACCTTAAACTCCATAGACAGCCCACGAAGAAATAACAGACCAATAGTACACTTTATCCGCGGTGTTTTCTTTACGGGCTAATCACCGCAGCAATCATGGCATCTATCATTTAGGATCTCTGCTTTGACTACTTTGGTGCGACACGTCATGAACCGTTTCATGAGTTGTCCTTCTGGAATGCGTTTCTTATGGTTGAATACCATCTTTGACAGTGCACAGCAACGGGTAATAGCGAGTTTGCTCCAGAATAAAAACCGGGTTCCACCACAGCTAACATCCTTGAGAAAGATCTCAGACGGATACGCGGTGACATTCAATTTCCTCACGTTAACCGCAAAGGTCCATTGACACAAATCGAATTGCTGCTGAATAACATCCTTAGAAAGATCTCAGACGGATACGCGGTGACATTCAATTTCCTCACGTTAACCGCAAAGGTCCATTGACACAAATCGAATTGCTGCTGAAAGGGTCAACCGTTCAATACATCAAGAAATTTAAGCTTTTTTGACCTTTTTAAGGTGCCAGTAAGTCATCCACACTCAATTAACTTCCCGCAGATACGGATGTTTTTCGGGCTGTCCACGATCGATAAAATGGTCAGCGAACGACTCCTGCTCACTTCTAATTCAGAGGAACCAGACTAAAGCCATTATCTGAGGGGAGTGGAACTTGCTAACGCCCAAACCCCTCTACGCAGAAAACCTTAGATTTATAGAATAACGGTGAGAGATGACGGAATAGTATCCCCATGATAGATTGATCGTATCACCTGGGTTCAAGGACACTGATGTGCAGATGGTTTGTCGGTCATCCCATGGAGTTGAAAGGGGGACTTTGTTACATCAATCACTGTTATGTGGATAACATTTGGAAACAGCTGAATGAATGCGGTTTTATAGCTGGTTGTTGAAAAGTGACAAGTTAAACTCGCCCTGGGGAAAAAAGAAAAAAACAGTTTATTGATAGTACGATTATGTTTGACAATTCGGAAAAGTTTATTTTGTAAATGTAGTCACTCTGTGCGGGAAGGCCGGAAGCACTGTATAGCTGTTTCATCCCTATGGGAGAATCGCCTGCGGTGCGGATTTCCAAACCTCCTAAAGCTGTACTAAAACTTAAAGTGGAATGGAAGGAAAGATATTTTACACGGAGAGCGTACCTTCCGTCTGAGAGGTTCTCACTCGACAAACACGGGAAGTGGATTCTACGAGTGTAAGATGATGTAAGATGTAAGATGTAAGATGTAAGATGTAAGATGTAAGATGTAAGATGTAAGATGTAAGATGTAAGATGTAAGATGTAAGATGTAAGATGTAAGATGTAAGATGTAAGATGTAAGATGTAAGATGTAAGATGTAAGATGTAAGATGTAAGATGTAAGATGTAAGATGTAAGATGTAAGATGTAAGATGTAAGATGTAAGATGTAAGATGTAAGATGTAAGATGTAAGATGTCGTCTCAAAGCGCGAGTTTGGCAGTGTTTCATGGCTGAAAGGTTTAATCCGCACCTACTAATCAGCAGCTATCAAGTTCTCCTATCTTCCTGGCAATTCGTGTTAAACGCATCGCTGATGAATCAGATTGGGGATTAAAGAGATGCACAACGTTTTTCGGGTTTTCTTTATCGACTATCTTCAACTGAAGGATGAAATTTCGGTCGAAAAGTGCTTCCTTCTGAGGTCACTCCTAAAGATCGTCTCTACGGAGAAATGCCGTTGCAAACTCAAAGCGTCCCTTGGTCTGAGGCTAAAGAAATTCGGTATCCTTCGTATTCAGTTGGAGATACCAGGAAGGGAAAACTCAGTGTTTCAGTACTCAAAATGAAAGAAAATCTTTTCAACTGCCTTTTCTTATCACTCTGGCTAATCAGTACACGAAGTGCATCTCTAACCAAGCATATGGTAGGCCACATGATCCCCATCCCGAAAGGCGAACAGCGCCAGCAGCACTCAAACATTCTTCCATGTCAACCACGTTCATATCTACCCGCAACTCCGAATTAGAAGAGAAAATCAAATTTGTTCTTACCGGTAGTATCTCGCCATGCATAACACATGGCGCAGCACACGTAGCTTACAGTACCGGATGCGGTCCTTGAGGGAAGTACCCTCTGCTTCACCACAAACCCATCCCATGATCAACTCATTTCGAATTCTCTGGTTCCAGCCAACTCCAGTTATAATTCTGAGCTGGTCAACTACCTAAAGTTGCCTAAGACCATCAGCCCAAAGTGATCAATTCTCTCATCCGTGGAACATCATGGCCCCTCTAGTCTTACATACGCTCCCCTTGAGATCCAGCAATATATAATTTTAACGCTACAAGTGGCTCATATTCGCAAAACCATTTCTGGCTTTTGAGATTCTTGCGTTTACTTTGTCTACCACACTATCGCCAGCGCTAATACAAGTTCCGAGATTCGTATATAGTCCCACAACTTCCATTGTCATTGCCTGAATTCTTATAGGCATGTTCAATGACCGCATGTTCCAAAGCATGAATTTGCGCCCAGTTGGTATGAAGCATAAGCCGAAATACTGGATGACCTTGGTCAGTTTTTGCTCAAGGAATACCAGCGCTGTGATATCGACATCAAGTCATCAGATCGGGATCACAAATAGCTATGACAGTGATGCTTTTTTACACATGCCTTTGCGAGTGACCACAAACAACAACTGCTTATTTGCAGAGTTCCTCAAGAGGAATTCCAACAAAGGAACATTCTCATCAATGCCTTAAGGGTTATATGTCACACTTTGCTGACATCTATTAACTTTACTGGTCTTGACTGAGTTTATGTACCCACAGCAAACAGAGTATCAAAGTCGGCAGATGGTGAGTGAAATTGATTAGTTCCACAGTTTGGCTCCTTCAGGTAGCAATCCTTCGGATACCTTATTGCTTCCTTCATCGAATGTTTTCGGAGTGTCACGGCAACAAGCCTTCTCCGTTGCCACAATCTGAAACTGAAAGAGTATTTGAACACAGAAAACCTGCTACATTTTAAGGTGCTTTGCCAGCTGATTGACGTTCAATATCAGTTATTTGGACAGCATGGTAATCGGTAAAACGACGCAAGTAGTGGTACAACTCAGAGTGATATGAGGTTAGGTATTGATATAGTATGACGGGAATTGCTCTGGGTCAACCAGAATCCAACTTACCATCTTTCGAGGCTGATTTCGCGCAACCCCATTTGTTGCCATTCACATAACTATAATCGACACATAAAACGAGTTATCAAATGACTGCGAATTGTACAGTATCACAGAAAAACTGATGAAGTAAAACGGGTAAGTGTGTTATGAACTTGGCTTACAATATAACTGCCTGTTACAGATCAACTGTTTACCATGAATCGCTGGCTCCGTACCCATAATGGAAGAATTCGGTTGCGACTGTATATACATGCATGTGAATGAGTGTGCATACCCACATGTATTGAACACCACTCGAACAGCTTTGTCTCGGCATCACAGTAAACAACGAGGGTCTACAGATGACCAAATGTTCATCAATTGGCAGGCAGCTCGATAACCGCTGACCTTGCCGAGGCGAAGACGGGGCACCCATATAAACGGAGCATTGGTCAATTTCCGTTAGCTGTATCATAGCCACCGAACCACTGCTGATGGTACACATTTTCTGGATCAATTGAAAATGTTACTGTGTCTTGTTACCCTACTACTCATTTCTCTATCCCTGCCGTCGGCTAACACAAGCGCCACGGGAGATCCAAATGACCCCCAAGAATGTCTTGATATAGACGCGCAGTCAGATGGAGATAGCTATCAAGGCAAGGTATCCGTGGCCTACGATGGGACTGAGTGTCAACCGTGGAGTAACCATTCACAGTTTTGGCGCAGGCACTGGTCTCGCGATCGGGCCTACAAAGAGATCAACTACTGTCGAAATCCTGACAACGATGCGCGTGGACCTTGGTGTGTGGTACACAAATCGTCGTTTAAATATTGCAACGTTCCAAGATGTGGTAAGTGAGGAATGCTTTGTGGTCGTTGCTAACTTATATCGATTAAGTAGTAAGCGAATGAATCTATGAAGTTTTTGGTTGCTTTTTAAATCAACTTTGGTCCAGAATGAATTATGGTAGTCTCCTATCAGAGGCGGGGTTTGGCCCAAACAGTAGGTAGTCTCTGATCTGAAGACCTTCACACTGAGGAATGTCTGATGGATAAAGGCCTTTGTTGACCTCTTCAGAGGAATTACATCGCTTGCTCAGACTACTCGGCACTAGTTTTTTCTAGCTAGACAGAGTTAGTGGAGATCAATGACAATCATCAAGTACTTTTAGAATAAAACTCTTTTTAAACATCCAACTTGGTTCTTCAGAATATTGCAAAACCTGGAGTGCCAGCTGTGCTTCAGTGGCCTAAAATATCGCTAAATAAGTTGTAGTTAGGGAGGGAAATGACTCAAGTTTGTTGCCTGATTCCTGGGTTTTTTCGATCCGATTAACAATAGTGATGAACAAACCACTAACCCGATTTCGCTGGTATACGTCTCGGGTAAAAGGAACCGAATGCGTTGTCTACCCAATCCGTTAAATGTAGAGTGATGCGGACGCAAAGTTGACCATTTGTTGGCTTTGAAACCCATTCCAGGCGAATAAACGCGAAATGGTGGAAAACCAGTCTAGATGAAGGGAATTTTACCGTGGAACACAAGATGAAATGACGCTGGTTCAACCAGGTATTATGCCATATGGGGCCTCTCATGTTTTTACAGTACTTCATGTCTGGGGCACGCAGAACATTGTAGTTACACCTGGCAGAACAAGGAGCTTTGACCTGCAATACAAAGAAGTGGGAATACGTGATTCTGTGAACCAATTAAGGGCCAGCGTCAATATCCCTGTTCTGCTGAATACAAAACTGACCAAAACATTTCGTGGCATTCAACTGCACCTGAGGACTATGTGGTGACATTTTTTATTTGAAATTCGTGTAATATAACAGAAGAACGGTATATCCTTCGGAGGGGATCACAGACAATCGCAAATTCATTAATACCCCCTTCTTTATAGGACTGTTTCAAATTATCTTTGGACTGTAAGCACGAGATGATTAGCTTTCGGATTACACTTAGATATTTCACATCGGTAGGTCTTGGAAAACAAACCTTTCCAACTCCAGGTTATGGCAAGCTGCCAAAAAAGTCTTGATTCGGCTCATCTGGTGTGAGGGGAAAGTGGCATCCTTCTGACATTCTGAAGCGCTCAATAAAGAGGACGTTCACTCATCAACGAGTAAAATGTTCACTCACTTGGTGATGAAACGTTTGCAAGCCCGGTGAACAGAGTAAAGACGGTATGATCAAAAGGCAACAGATGATCGTGTGCACGCTGGATTGATCAGAGAGAAGCCGCAGTTTCGTCATCCGGCACTACCGAAAGCATGCTTGCAATGTAAGAATGGTACAAAAAATACTCGCATTGTTGTCGTATGCTAAGTAAAGTCTATGCAAGTGGGTCTTACCTGCGGCTGATCGTCAGTATGCAAACTGTGGTGTACTTCTGCTACATGCATGATACTAACTCTCAGTCCAGTTGCACCGTCGAACAACTTCAAAAAGAAACCAATGTGCAAGCAATCGGACCATACATTAAGGTGCTTTTCTCATGTGCGAAAACTGAGTTGCTATTTTCCGCTGTTGAAATAACATTTGCTTTGGTCTGTAGTGGGTTCCTTTGGGATATCCGTACATTGGTTAAGTGAAAGCCCGTTATACTTTAAACTGAACTACTTTTTGTCGAGATGTAACACACTACTCAAGGTTGCTGAAAAACCCTGGACGTCGCGTGACCGGTTTCACCCTACTTGAGGCTCATCAAGTAGGCACAGTTCGCGAGTTTCTGTCCACCTTATTCTGTAATTCAGCTACCTTTTTCTTCCCCACTACCTCAAACAAAGTACAGGGGGAGCATCGTCCAACGTACATATTATGAGAGAACTTAAGGAACGGCAAATTTGTTAGCACAAACAAAGCAAAGTTGACCAATAGGGAAGAAGCGTGGTCCTTTTAGAATAATTTGCAAAATAGCGAAAGGGAGCGAAAACTCAAAATTCAAATTTTCAGAAAACATCTCTGATAATTACTCGATAAATAAACGGTTTTTTGGGACAGTGATATCCCCCAAAGGTATTTGTGGTCTTTTCGTACTGCGATCGCATAACTTACCACTGAGTATACCCCGAGAAAAGCGGTCGGAATACAGTAATCCAGGGAACTAGTTGAGACATGCTTGTGCATGGTGAGTACAGTGATGTTTTGACGGACGCGGAGCTAGGTTGGGCGTAGTGCGCCGCGCAAAATATTCTCCAGTCCAAGAGAAAGGTTTTGGTACTCGATGAGATGAAGTGTTGAAGAAATTTCAGCTCATCTGAAGTCAGAACCATTCTACAGTGATGTTTGACGGACGCGGAGCTAGGTTGGGCGTAGTGCGCCGCGCAAAATATTCTCCAGTCCAAGAGAAAGGTTTTGGTACTCGGTGAAATGAAGTGTTGAAGAAATTTCAGCTCATCTGAAGTCAGAACCATTCGTTGCGAAACCGACTGACGTGTTACAGGTTTGGAATAGAAAGAGAAAACAACAGTGTTTGACAGAAAAGGACAGAAAAGGAAGTATGCAATTTGCGGAGGCACCGTTGACACCTACCTGCATCTGTGAATACGCCATCACCCAGGTGAAACATTTGATACTTCGGTCCTGTTTTCACCGCAGTAAAATGATTTCTGTGCAGATTTCGTGCAGATCTATCTGCATAAGTAGGCAGTGGCCACTCAGGTTCCATTTGAATTCAAACTGTACGAGGACTCAACAGAATCCCAGCTGAATCTCTCGTTTTCTCTAACTAGATGTGCTCCACAAATCCAGTGTCAGTTGAAGTGATATTCGAGATGTTGCAGTATGTGTTTTTAACGGAAACTACTCTCAAGTTTGCTGAAAACTTTTCGACAACCCGCGACCGATTCCGCCCTCCTTGGAGCTCATCAGATGGATTCAGGTGGATAGATTGCTGGTATCACCACTGGTGCAGAGCCATCGATCCTTGTTTAGCTAAAGCCCTAAATGAGTGATACACACTTTGGAATAATGCGTGCGCCTATTTTCTTTGTTCACTGGTTAGTAGAACTGATGGCTTTGTTTGCCAAAATGCTTGCTGGAACGTCTGATTTGTCTCCG